GGGTTTGTTCTCCTCCTCTGGAGTGGGACCATGTCCTTGGAAATCATCATCTGAGTCGAGCTCCCACACAGGAGTCGGTGTTGGACACGGTCCGGGGCTTGTGAACAGTTTTTTCTTGTTCTTCTTGTCTTTTCTTAGAACTGGTGGTGTGTTGGGCGGAGGAGTGGTGAGGCCAGTCAGGGAGGGGTAGAGAGGTGCTGTGGGAGGCAGAGATCCGCAGGACTCCGGTGCATGTAAAAGAGAAACAGAGGGGAGAGACACGTTTAATTTGTCCTTTAACGATCTAGTTTCTTTTCTCGACTTAGCTTCTGGAGTATTTTGTGAATTTCTCATTTTGTCATTTTTTAGAGACAATTCGGTTGACTTTTCAATTTTCTGAGCCATCTGGTATGTTTTGGATGCTGCTTTCTGAGCAATTGATTTGGATTGATTTTTCCATAGTTTAAACGCCTGTTCATGATTATGCATTGCTGTGAGCATGTCCTGTGGAATCTTTTTCATTTTACACATTCTTTGTTTTTGACCTAATAATTGTTGTTCTAATTTTTGAATTTCTGCTGGGTCAAAATAACCATTTCTTGGAAAGTTAAATTTGGAATGTCACTGAGAAACAAAACTGAGACTCGAATCGCCATGCAGTCTGCACATCCTGTCAGCTTCTGGACCGCAAGGAATGTAATCCTCTGCTTTACTGTTTCCTGATCCCATTTTTGTTCCTATTTTTCAGTCCCTTCTAATGAGACTTTGCCTCGACCTAGTTTTATAAGTGTACCTCGGTTTTCAATTTAAAACCTACTTTGCCTCTAATTTATTTCTCAGCCCCTTATCAGGAACCTACTTCGATTCGTGTTATACAAATCTACCTCGGTTTTAAATCATTAAAACCTACTTGACTGTCTCGATTTGTTTATACACAAATCTACCTTGGTTTTGTAATAAAACCTACTCTTTTACACAAAATTATTTTTACCTTTGTTTTGATTTAGGTCTCTCAGTCTGGTCCGGATCCTGTCGAAGCCGATCTCCTCCGAGGGAGAACCAGAACGCCCTCCCGCTCTAATGTCCTACTGGAGGTTGGAGGAAGAATCAGCGATTCATGGTGATCAGCCCCGTCCTGGCTTCCAGCGAAGTGGACAGGCCAGCGAAGGGTCCTATTCGTTACGCCAAATTGTGGAGTTTTATCAAACTTGTTGTTCAATAAAATTTAGCAAACTGGAGACTTTGTTAAATACATGTAGCAAAGTTTATTTTCTTCTGCAGAAGGAGAACAGCACAGCTTGGTGTCATGAATAATCACAGAAATGGTACTCAAATTCAGACCAGGGCTGAGAAGGATTACAGACACGGAATAAAGTTCAGTGAGTTTATTTACAGTGCTGGGGTAAAGGAAGTCTGAGTTCCTAGAAGGGAGAAAAAAAGGGGAAGACAGATTAATGATGGGTAAGGGAATATTGTAGCTGTTTTGGATAAAATAATCTTTCTCTTACAGGTGGATCTTCGAAGGCAGTCTCAGGGAGGAAGGCGAAGTGTCTGTCGGGTGAGTAAATCCTTGTATTTTCCAGGTATCTTGATTAGTATCTTGCAGGTGGCGGCTGATGGAAGAGTGTCCGGCTGGGAGATAGAGTTCCACAGGGAATGAGTCCAGTTTGGAGACGATTCGTCAAGTCTTGGTTCTTGGAGGTGAGTCCTGGTTTTGCCTTGAAATCACAGGGAGACACAGGTTGATCAAACACAGGTTCACAAGAGAAAATACTAAAAATGGTTTTCTCACAGTACCCAAGGTGACTGAATGATTCAGCGAAGACTGGAACCTCCTCCAAGGCTTAAGTAGCAGCTGGAATCATTAACCAGATTGAAGGCAGGTGGTTGCTCAGGAACTCCGTCACCAGCACTCAGCAATTGTAGGGTGAGTACACTCAAACGGCACAGGCCTAACACTTGGAAGCTCAGAGAGTTCTGTTCTCTATGCTACAACAGTAAACACTACAATTTATACTCTTTTTCACATGTCACAGAACTTATCTCGTTCCTGCACACACAGGCTGTTGAAACAGTTTGCATGTGGGGGGGGGGGGGGGGTGTCTGTCTTCGGTTTTAGGGCCTCACAAATCAAACCAAGGTGAAACAGACAATTAGGCTTGTGGTTAGGACAGGATGTTCTGTTCGTGTGAGTAAAAACAAAAGTAACCTCTTGACCGTTTTGATCACAAATTACAACAATGTCTTTCTCTTTGCTGGTTCCTGTTCCCATGGCGTGATGAGGAGTGACCTTCATAGCAGGAACGGGTACGCAGATGGTTTCAACATCACAGTTTAAATCATGCATATATAAATGATAAAAAAATGAATACAACTATTTGAGTACAATTTTCTTTCACAAGTTCATCCATGTGTGGTAATAGATGGCAAATGACAACAATAACTTTATTTGGCTCCCTTAAATCAACATACATGCATGGCTTTCCATCTCTCCTTTGTGTCACTACTATGGAAGAAACCCAAGGTGAAGCATCAATACATTCAATGATGCCCTTATCTTGGAGATCTTTGTGCTCCTCTGAAACAGCTTGCCTCACTGAAAATGGAAGCCTCCTGAGTTTTTGTTGTACTGAAACAGCATTTGGCAGTATGTGTACTTTGTGTATGAAGTTTTTGACGTTGGCATGGCAGGTTGAACAGTAGAGGTAGGAGGAGTAACAGTAGTAATAACTTTTCATCCTTCAAGTTTCATATGCAATGTCTGAATTATATCTAAGCCTTGGCAATCAGCACCTGACTCAACCACAACTAGAGTACCTACAGTAGAATGATTATCATGAGAAATAGTAGCTTTTAAGCACCCTTTTACAGCAAATGTCTCTTTTGCATAGGTAACAAGAGCAAATGTAGGTTCAGTTAGGGCACATTCTGAGAAGAAGTTGCAGTATATGTTCTCTGGTATAATGGACAGAGATGAGCCTGTATCTACAATCAGCTCAACATCTTTGCATTGTCCATTAGCAGCCAGTCACTTGAACTGTGCAGAGGATCTTGTACTGTATTATTCATGTAAAGAACTGTGGGCTCATTAATGACAACTTCATGTACCTCCTTTTGAGTTGAATGGCATACTCGTGAAAAATGTCCAACTTTACCACTCTTGTTGCTGGTCACTTTAATTGTAGGGAATGAAGGTTTGTTAGCAAGGTGGTTAGAAGATCCACAATAAAAGCTGGAACAGTTACCAGCAGCTTGAGCCGTGGCAGGAGCAGGATTCAGCAGCATCTTCTTCTTCGTATCCCAGCAGCAGCTTGGCTTTGATTGTTTCTGTATGGCCCCCACAGGAGCCAAAGCGCCAGCAACAGTAGCATCAGAGAGAACGCTAGCATCCCTTAATCCACTTTCCATTTGCAACACCAATGTAGCGACTTTAGCAAGTGTTAGGTCCGGTTCAAGTAATAATCTGTCTCTTATGCGAGTCTTAGCAACATGCTTGATCAGTTGAGCACGTAGCATTTGTTCTTCCATGTTGCCAAAATCACATGCAGCAGCTAACTCACATAGAGAAGCTAAGAATTACTTTACCGTCTCATCCGGCCTCTGTGCTCTTTGTTGAAACTTGTGACGTTCAGCAATGACGTTCACCTTTGGCACAAAATGTTCTTTTAGAGCGGCAATAGCAGCAGCATACATGTCTCCAGTGTTCGGCAGGGTGTAAAAAAGCTGTTGACCCTCCGTACCCAGGGCATGAAGTAGAACCGCACGTTTTCTTTCATCCTGTCAGCCGTCCCCCAACTCTGCGATCACCAACATGTAGTTTTCAAACATTTTTAACCATGTTGGAAATGTTATCACTGGTTTCCCCAGGCATGGCATGAATGGAGCAGGTAAAGGCACATAAATAGACATTCTCATTGCCAATGTTGTGTGGGTTGCAAGACTGAATTAAAGTAAAAAATAAGCAGACACGTGGATCAGCTTCAGTTCTCCTTTTTATTTCCTAGTTTTCGTTTTCTCACCGTCACACTCAGCATTGTATATTTAACAGTCTTAGACTGCCCTCTAGTGCCCTTTCTATGCAATAACAATCCAGCAGAACACAACAATCTGTATCAAAGTTCAAAAGTTTGATCTTAGTCTTGTCCTCAACACATCTATGTAATATTGTGCCATTGCCTTAGCACCGCCCACTGAGAAACAAAAGTTACACTTTTCTCATAGAGGTCTATCGCTGACCTGCTTTATCATGTCACCTTACATTGTCAGATAACAGAAATGATGACGATACACGGTAAAAACTGTGACTTATCTTTGAAGGGTGTGATCTTGACAGTGCAGAAAATGTTTATATCTTAGATCATAAATGTTGGTGTGAGTTCTATATATTTAATCCAATCTGCACCAAAATGCAGTAAAATTATCTTTATTCAGAGCTAAACATATGTACTTACACAAGTTGTATGGCAAAATATATAAACAGCACCCATTAGAATATTTCAAATTACTTTTTTATTCTACTTTTATATAGAAGTACAGAAAGAACTTTCATTATTCCTACAGAGAACTAAAAGTTTGTACTACTTTGTTAGTTTGTACCACTACACTTGCATTTGAATCAACTCCTTCAAGAAATGTTGACATATTAGCTTCAAACTTGGTATTATCAAGGTATGAGAGATTTAAAGTTATCTAAAGCTTGGAGTTTTTTTTGGGTCACATCATGTGGGAGCAAGTCCACCTCAAACTTTGACTTCTTGACAACAAAACAGAACAGTTCAGTCCTTGCTGTACCTTCCTGACATGTATCACAGCTAACGTGTGGCCTCTGCTGTGTGACTGAACTCTTTCACACACTGTCTGCTCATTGGCTGTACACTGTGTCCAACCACTCCATCTGCTGATCCGCCTCCCCACCACCCTAAATGTAGCACTATCCAATCACTCTGCTGCATGTCTGTGTTATGTAATTGAGCCGCCTGCTTGTGTGACTGAGGGGAGGAAATTAAAAGCAAGTTCTTCCTTTTCGTCTTTCTTTTCAAGGGAGCAGAATAGTCCGGGTTTGCTACAAAGGTGAGTTGGTTTCACTTCAGCTTTCTTTACATGATGCATGCCCTACAACTCTGATTAGAAGTAAAATTGTGTACATTGTTTTAAAAGTCTACACTTTATATAGTAAATACCATAATGCCATAAAAAGCCATGCATTCAAGGACTTAGCTAAATTACTGTTTGACGTGGTAAGTAAGATTTATTATCAGTAATGCAAGTTTGAAACTTGACTTCATTGATTTTTGTCTGAACTCCTGCAAAATGTCTAACTGTTCTGCCCATGCATTGCAACAGAGATATGAGCTGAACAGAGGGTGATTGGTCAGGAAAGCTGGCCCTGCCTCTTTTCAAAGTCAATAAACTCAATTAGTCATGAGTGCAGAAGCTAACGATGGCTTTACACAGTTGTGTTCCACATTCTTTATTATTTTATTGTATGAGTGTTTGCTTGTTTTACTGTATTGCACTGTACAACACTTTGTTTCCTTTGAGGAGTTCTAAAGGGCATTATAAATAAATTTGGATGAGATATTCTGTTTTTGTGGTAAAACTAAAAAGTAAAATGTTGTTTCTGTTATCAGCAAAATAGGTGACACTACTCTATTACTGCTGTTGATACATGTTTCCAACACAATAAATCACTGGGAAGGTTAGAATGAAACCATTAGTTGCTATTTCTTTTCTATCAACTTGTTCAAACAACCAACATCAAAATGTTATCTGTTTGTTATAAAAGTTTTAATATATTCTCAAAGTGTCATTGGCACTTAAAATGTTTTTAGATAAGGTTGACCCCAAAGCTAGCACTGAGGAGGAGACGGAGTCAGGCGTACAAAAAGTTAAGTGCTTTTATTCCCAAGTGATGATGATGTTCAGGGATGGAAGATCAAAAGGACAAGGTGAATATTTGTGATTCTTCAGGTTGGATGAATAATGAATCTTGTTTGCAGATAGTCTTTTTCTTACTAGTTTTTGTGTTTGTAGATGGAGACGGAAAGGCGGGAGAAATGAGGTCCCTAAATGGTGTTCCTATTGAGTTTGTCGATTCCTATAAATATTTTGGTATCTTGGCCGACTCGCATCTCTTAAGCTTCACGTGGAAAACTTAGTAAAGAAACAAAAAGTTAAACTGGGTTTCTTTTTCAGAAACAGATCCTGTCTAACTCTGAATGCTAGGAAACACCTTTTAACTGTGACTTATCTTCCTGCATTGACTACGGTGACATTATTTACATGAAGGCTCCTACAAGCACCCTGCAGATGTTGGATGATCTCTATCACAGTACATTAAGATTCATAACTGGTTGTTACTACCATACCCACCATTGCACCCTGAATTCACTGGTTAACTGGACATCATTAACTTTACACAAAATCTCCCACTGGTACATTTTCATCTTGAAATAACTTCTTGGTCTGTTGCCTTCATACATCTCCTCCTACATGCCACTGCGTGAGTGCAGCTACAAGCATGTGCTCTCAGGACATTATTACATGCAGTGTTCCCTCAGTGAGGACTGAACTGGGTAAAAGGGCATTCTCCAACTCCGCTCCTGTTTCCTGGAATATCTAGAAAAAGAAATGATGTTCTCGACATTGACCTCTCTAAGTGGTTTTAAACACCTGTTAAGTTAATGGCAAAAACCAATGCAGACATTTTTCCTGTTTTTAGTGTTTTACTACACTTAACAATGTAGCTGGTTTTTTTGTATAATTTTCTTTTAAATACCATTTTATTTTCAATTGTTTTATAAACACACATATATACATATATATACATATATATATATACATATATATATATA